CCTTTGTGCTACCACTTAACACCTCTCCCTTCCTCTTTACAAAAAAGATGAGGGAAAAGGAGCCTTGGGTGGTCTGAGCAGTGGCTGTGAAATCCTATTGGGCACAGAGTGGCCCCCAGTGATCCTGGCTTTGGCCCACCTTGCTTGAGCCTGGGGGACACATCACCAACTGCTGCATTTGTTGTATTTTTTAAGTTGAAATTAATGAAGTATAACATTTTTATTGTAATTTTAGCCTTAGCGTGTGGGGGTTTATCCCTTTTTGTTAGCTGTGTACAGAATGTGTATCGTATTTTTTTTTTCTTCCATTTTCCCCCCTCTTGGCTAATCATTGGCAAGGATCTTTCTGGGGAAAAAGCTGAGAGAGCAGCTAGGGCAGGAGAGAGAGTGTCCTGGGTAGGACCTGATAGACACTGCCTAATTTCCTGTTGCTAGCCCCTACCTGCTTTTGGAACAGTGTGAGACATTGACCTTTATTCCCTGTGGGTTAGCACTTAACATGTAGAGGCTTGGGCTTCTACATCTTCATTAGCATCACTTGCAGAGGACTGACCCTGAACAAAACAGCAGGGGCAGGGAACAGGTGGGACCTGGACACCTTGAAGGCAGCCCCAAGTGTGTGGGGTATGCTATATATCCCACAGAGGTTGGGAGTAGGTACATGACACAAACTCAGTAATTAATTTCATAGCATTGTCCCCAAGCTCTGGATTTTTCTCTCCGGGACCCAAGTTTTAGGCGGTGAGTAATACTTGCAAGAAAGTTACTGAAGGATTTAAAAATGGACAGCCAATGTGTTCAGCTGCTCAGGCCCATACCCCCTGGAGCCTCTAGTGTATTGTATCATATTTCTCTGTGGAAAACTGTCATGTTTAGTCAAGTTGGAGCCCACTCGCCTGGTCCCTTTGTTTTCCCTATCCCTTCTCCCAAGCACCCTTTGATTTCTCTTCTGAGAACAGTACTACCCCGTTCATCTATTGTAGAGTAACCCTGTGACTCAATATTACCATAGTGCGATGTTGTTTTGTGCTATTTTGAACAATTAAAAGACTTTTTTTGAAATAACTGTCTGGTGTCTGTCTACTCATGTCAAGAGTATCTTTCGACCTTTGGAAAGGGGAAGCTGGGACCTGCCCAAGGTTCACTTGAGCCACTGGAGGCCTTTTGTTACCAGGAACCATAGGTGAGCGATTCTCAATTGCCCTTCTAAGAAGGCTTCAGAGCAAAGTACACCACTGGGGCCTCTCTAGAGCCATGCTACCTTATAGGCCCAAGGCTGAGGGGCCTCTTGAGTACTTGCTGTTGATTCTGCATTTGGAAGCCAGATCACCTGTTCTCCCACTAAGGGACAGACTAAGGTAAAAGCCTGGCTGGCCATTTGCAGACATGTGAGTGAACCACAGCCTCTATATTCTCCCCAACATAAGCTCAGGAGACTCCAGGGTGTCAGCTCGGGCACAACAGGTGTGTCTGACATGTGATGGATACTCAATGTGGTAGGACCAAGTCCTCTAGCTTTATGTACAAGCCAAGCCTCCAAACAGAGAGGCAGAATTACTGACCTTGGCAGTCTAACAGCCAGTTGAGTGGTGCTATCTGGGCAGAAGGCTAAAGACACCCTAGAAATAAGGCAGCCCTGGCCTATAGCCAGAGCTCAGTGATGGCAGGTCTAGGTGCCAGCAGGCTGAGAGTAGCAAGCATACCACCTCCATGCATCTCCAGGCCCCTGGTGCTTGAGCTAGAGAAAGAAGGGGTGTGGGTATATGTTTCCTCAGCATCTCCTTTCTGATATCTCCGCTGCTACTACCTTTATTTAGATTTATTTTTTGAGATAGTCTCACTGTGTATCCCTGGTACTCACTGTGTAGACCAGGCAGGCCTCAAACTCAGAAATCTGCCTCTGCTTCCCAAGTGCTGGATTACAGGCTACTATACCCAACTTTCTATTATTTTTAATTATATGTAGGTGGGTGGGTGGATAAGTATGTGCAGGTTTCCTCAGACACCAAAGACATGGTCCTCTGGAGCTGGAGTTAAAGGCAGCTGTGAGCTGACCAACTTGGGTGCTTTGTAAGAGCAATACACACTCTTAACCACTCACTGGGCTATCTCTCCAGCCCTCTATTTCTCTCAGTCATTTTGGTACCAAAAGTGGCCTCCTATGAAGCCAGTGCTGATGTGCACCTAGATGTGTGCACTCAGTGCATGCTGATGCCTGAGTGCAGGCCCAGTGTAGAGGGCCTCTGAGAAGCCATTTTCTTGGTGCTCACACAACCATTCGGCTCCAAAGCAGCACCTCCTAGCATGTGACATCCTTATGTCTTCCCACCCAGACTGTTCCCTGCCCCAGATGGAGCCCAGCCCAGGCCAGCTCAAGGACAACTTGGGACAGGGAGCACAGCCTCACTGGGTCCACAACCTCCAAGGCTTCTGGTTTGTTGAGGGTATCCTGCCAATAAAGAGAGCAAGTGAAAGTTCCACTGGCAGCCGCCGGTGGTGGCGCCCGTCTTTAATCCCAGCACTTGGGAGGCAGAAGCAGGCTGATCTCAGTGAGTTCAAGGCCAGCCTGGTCTGCATAGTGAGTTCCAGGACAGCCAGGACTGTTACACAGAGAAACCCTGTCTCGAAAAACCAAAAAAAAAAAAAAAGTTCCACTAGCCTGCCTCAGGCCCAGGAGAGGAACAATAAATTGCCCTCCAGATAGGAGCTGTGGGAGCAATGTCCAAGGATGAGAAGACATGGATCAGCAGAGGTGAATTGTCGAGTGGAGAGGTTTGTGAAGATTTGTTAACATGTAGACACTTAGCCTGGCAGAAGTGCAAAGGTTCTTCCCTCACTATTTTTTTTTTTTTTCGAGACAGGGTTTTTCTCTGCGTAGCTTTGCCTTTCCTGGAACTCACTCTGTAGACCAGGCTGGCCTTGAACTCACAGAGATCCGCCTGCCTCTGCCTCCCGAGTGCTGGGATTAAAGGCGTGCGCCACCACCGCCCAGCAACACACTATTCTTATAGCCATTACCTATGGGTCTACCCTCCCTCCTCCCCTGTGCTGAGCTTCTCATACCACTCTGGAACTCAAGGAATATACAGGGCTGGAAAAATAGCTCAGTGGACCAGAGTTTAGTTTCTAGCATCTTTGCTGAGCAGACTTCCATGGTCACCTCACTCACACAGACACACACATAATTAAAAATTAATCTTTTTTTTTTAAGGATTTATACCAGAAGTGCTTTGGCACAGATCTCAAAATGCTGAGCTTGAGCTGGGTGGTGGTGGTGGTGGTGGTGGTGGTGGTGGTGGTGGTGGTGGTGGTGGTGGTGGTGGTGGTGCACGCCTTTAATCCCAGCTCTGGGGATGCAGAGGCAGGCAGATCTCTATGAGTTCAAGACCAGCCTGGTCTACAGAGTGAGTTCCAGGAAAGTAGGAACTACACAGTGAAAACAAAAACAAATACTGAGCTTGAAGCTGGGTGTGATGTAACACACCTGTAGTCCCAGTTCTTGAGAAGTGGAGGCAATAAGATCAGGACTTCAAAACCATCCTTGCCTACTAGTGAGAGTACAAGGCTAGCCTGGGATACATGAGACCCTGTTGCAAACAAGCAAACTGAGCTTGAGGGCAGAAAGAGGCATTACAGCCTTGCCTAACACTCCTCCCATGAGGTCCAGGGCCAGGGAATCACCTATAGTATCATACCAAGGCTTGTCCTTGGCTGAGCTTGAGGGAGATGGTATGTGTGCAAGGGAGGCGGGGGAGAAGACGGACATAGATAAATACAGTTTAAATAATGGCACACAAGCCTTCCTGGATACAGGTCTAGGGTCCCCTGGGTATGAGCTAAGCTGAGGGTAAATATGAACACAGAGCAGCTGCAGTAGACACCTACCTAACATACATGGGGACAAGGCTCACTCCAAGCACCACAAAGGTGAAGTGTTTCAGGCTAAAAGAACCACTCCAACCTGCAGAGCTAACCAGCAGCCATAGCCTGGAAGGTAGCAGTCATTGTGAAATCAAAGGTCAGAACACAGCTGGGGGATGGAGTGGCACAAGAACATCACCATGCCCAGGAACTGGATTCTTTTTACTAACCAACTCCCAGAGCAGCATTGATGAGGCAGAAGGTCTAGTTACTTTACACTCCTGGGTTGCAGTCTATCCTTAAGGACATATTCAAAGAACTAGAGTGATGACTCAGCAGTTAAGTGCACTATCTTTTCTTCCAGAGGGTCCAGGTTCGATTTCCAGCACCCACATGGAGACTCACAACCATCTGTAACTCCAGCCCCAGAGGATCCCAGTGCCCTTTTCTGGCCTCTGAGGATACTAAATGCATGTGGTGTACAGACATACACAGAGGCAAACACCAATACACATAAAATAAAATGGGGACAAAAAGATTCAGAACATATTCAAGCTCCCCAAAGTACCTCAGAAATTCTGGCTGCAATTCTCCCTCCACAGAATTCTGCTGATCAATGAGGGTGCCCAGTGGGTAACAAAAATGGGAGGAACAGATCAACCAGCCTGTCCCAGAGCCAACCAATACTGGGTAGCTAGAAGGCAGGCCCAGAGATCTAGAGGATGCCCACTCTGCTTTGCATGGTTACCACCTGTTTTCCCAGAAGCAGCCTTTGGGGTGAAGTATCCAGGAACTGGCAACCAAGGCCAATGGTTGTAAATTACTGGATACTGACAGTTTACGAAGCTAAAGGACCAAATTGGCAGAGAAGACTTGCCCACTATATGGTCTCAGGATTCAGGCATTTCCAGGGGCACCCCAACCCCACACATCTGTTGGGATCACCAACCTCAGCTGCCAGGCACAATTCAGTCTCCTCCCTACTTCCTCTCCATGTGACAAGACTGTCCTCAGCCACTTCCCACCAGGAGAATCTAGAGCAAGAGTGCGCTCACCCTGGGCCTTGATGGGCAGGAGGTGGGGTTTCAAACCCCGCCCTCTGCCCCGCCCCCACCTCGGCCCCGTCCGAACCCTGAAGAGGATCAGGTGGGTGGGGCACTGCTCGGTCAGCTGAGTGACGGTCACGGGATTTGACCAACTCTGGTTTCCTGGAGGAGAGCTAATAAATGGACTGAGTGTTAAAAGTCAGTGGTCTCTTTGGCAGGAGAGGTGCTGTTCTGGAGGGTCCCAGCAAACGGTGAGGTCAGAAGCCCGTCGCAAAGGCGAGAGGGATCCTTGGCTCAAGGCCCTATGGGGATGGGGTGCGATCAAACAGCTCTGGGGCCCACTTGAGCTGGTTCAGGAAGTCCCTGTGAAGAGCTGTGCCTCCATGCATGCCCTGACCTGAATCACTTCACAGGATATGGAGAAGGAACGAGAGACACTGCAGATCTGGAAGGAACGTGTGGGACAGGAGCTCGATAATGTGGTCGCTTTCTGGATGGAGCATTCCCATGACCAGGAACACGGGTTAGCTACCCCTCGATGATCCTCCCAGGGCTTTTGCCCCTCCCAAACCCCTACTTCACTCTGTGGCGACTCACAGATCTACTGGCTTCAGGAGAATAGTGAAGCTATTGGAGAAGGGTGCAAGTCTCCTCTTTTTCTAACAATACAATATGTCTCACAGGGGCTTCCTCACATGTCTTGGCCGCAATGGGCAGGTCTATGATCACCTCAAATATGTCTGGCTGCAGGGGAGGCAGGTCAGTTTGCACACTTAAGGCTGTCACACAATTGGATATACCCAGGGATACTTAAGATCCCCCCCCCACCCCAGCTGCTCCTCTTCAAACTCTTCCCTCACAGGTATGGATGTATTGTCACTTGTACCGCAGTTTTGAGCGTTTCCGCCGTGCTGAGCTTCTGGATGCAGCAAAAGCAGGTACCCTCTCCTACCCCCATCTCCTCAGGAGCTTCAGTGGGTCATTTATTCAGTGGATCTAAAGGGGTAAAGAAAAGGGACTGGTATGTTCCAAGAGACAGTATATTATGAGCCCTTACCTAGCATGCATACTCCCCAACCACCAGGTGGTGAGTTTTTGCTGCGTCATGCCCGCGTGGCACCACCTGCCAAGAAGTGTGCCTTCGTGTTGACTCGGGATGGCCATCCAGTGAAGGTGCAGCGGACCATTTTCAGCGAATGTTTCTACACCATGGCCATGAATGAGCTTTGGAAAGTAACAGGGGAAACACATTATCAGGTGTGTGGGAAGGATGGCCACAGGCTGTTGGGTATGAATTCACTCTGAAGAGAGACCTGAGAGCTTGCCACAACTCCCATTCACTCCTGTCCTACCATTTTGTGACTACCTTCTCTCCTCAGCTCTCTCCCAATTCCTGTACCACCATAGGAACCCTGAGCAAACAGGGATCTATCAGTCAATGCCCTGTGTCCATGTAGAAGAGGTCCTTTTTCCTCCCTGGGCCCTCCTGCCTGAATCCCAGAGCTTCCCCCTCACCCCACAAGCAATGTTGGGTGGATCCACTTGGCCTCTGGTACTTGGCTGTATGTAGGGCTGGCCCTGGAGAGCTGCAGAAAGAGCAGGTATCCTTGGAGAACAAGCTGAATCCTAGGTCCTTCCTCGGGGAGAGAAATGGGACAAGGTATGCAGCCTCTGCCTTGTCTCCCCACAGAATGAAGCTATGGAGATGATGGATCAGATCGTCCACTGGGTGCAGGTGGACTCATCTGATCTAGGCCAGACTAGGCTCTCAGGGACCCCTGCGGCAGAGGCTTTGGCAGTGCCCATGATGCTGCTCCACCTGGTGGAGCAGCTTGGAGAGGAAGATAAGGCACTGACCAGCAAGTACGCAGAACTAGGGGACTGGTGTGCCCACAGGATTCTGCAGCACGTCCAGGTAGGCACAGAGAGAGGGACGGAGTGAACCCTATTCTCCCACTCTGCAAGGGCCCTCTACCTGAAATATGTTCTTCAGCTTTCTAGACAGGTAGATCTAAGGAAGCACATTCATTTGAAATATAGCCCAGGGTCCTCAGGAAGGTGGAGCCTGGCATGCTGGGGCAGAGATGAGTGGGTCCTAAGGCAGAAAAAAGAGGCCAGAGCCCCAAGCACATCCTGAGACCTTGATCTATGTTCCTCCTCAGCCTCTGTGGACATCCAACTCTATCTTGCCTCCTCATTCAGTGTTTTATGCTCTCTGCTTGAGAGATCCAGATCTAAAGCAAGGATCAGAACCTATAGGCCCATGGGAGACAATCAGCCATTCCAAAAATGTTCTTCTATAATTCCAGAACTCCAGAGGTAGAAGCAGGAGAATCTAGAGTTCAAGGTCAGCCTTGCATGTATACTAAGTTTGAGACTAGCCTGGGTTACTCAAGACTGTTTCAAAACACACAACAACCAAAAATGCCCCCTTTGGGTCTACTGAGTAGGTGGATGGCTGGTACCAAGGGTGGAGGAAGGAAAGTTTTTTCCATTTTTTCAAGAAAGGGCTCTATGTAACAGTCCTGGCTGTCCTGGAACTCACTATGTATACCAGGCTGGCCTTGAACTCACAGAGATCTGCCTGCCTCTGCCTCCCCAGTGCTGGGATTAAAGGAGTGGGCCACCATGCCCAGCAGGAGAGATTTTTGAAGTTAGATCTTTCTGGTTAGATGAGAGGGAATGGAAACATCTGTCTTTTGTTCCTTTTCTGGCAGAGGGATGGGAAAGCTGTGCTAGAGAATATATCAGAGGATGGCAAAGAACTTCCTGGTTGCCTTGGAAGACATCAGAACCCAGGTGTGCTGGCATATCAGGAAAAAGAACTCAGCTTTCAGTTTGGGGTCTCCTATGGGAGGGGCTGCCCTCCTCCCTCCACCAAAGACCAGGTAGAGGAAGGGGAAAGTCTGCCCAGGACTGGGCATTGGCTGAAGGAACTTAAGTGTCTTTTGGGGGGGCCTTTTTTTTCAGGGAATGGAGTCCAGGCAGAAAGGCAGGGTATCCTGTGACAGAGTTCAAGCATCTTTCACCCATGAGGAGGAAGGGAGGTTCCAGGAACTCAAGCCCTCAGATGCTTGGGAAGGGAATTAATTCCTGCCTTAACTTTCTTTCAACCCTCACTAGGCCACGCAATAGAAGCTGGCTGGTTCCTGCTCCAGTATGCCCGCAGGAAAGGTGACATCAAACTTCGAATGCACATCATTGACAAGTTTCTCTTGTTGCCTTTCTACTCTGGATGGGACCCTGAGCACGGAGGCCTCTTCTACTTCCAGGATGCTGATGGTTTCTGCCCCACCCAGGTGGGAATGCCCAGAGCAACTTGCTGGAAGCCTGGCATGTAATAGGGGAACTCAGAGCCAGGTGTAGTGGCACATGTCTTTAATCCCAGCACTTGGGGGCCAGATCAGAAGCATCTCTGTGAACTCGAGGCCAGCCTGGTCTACATAGTGAGGTTCAGGACAGCCAGGACAAGGTAAAGAGATCCTATCTGAAAATACAATAACAACAAAAAAATTTGAACCCAGAGTCCAGTTTTCCCCGTCATATATCCCGTGAAAGCCATTAGAGAAGAGAGAGTGTGCAAATGCTGATGCCAAGACACACATCCCCTTCGTCTGGTGCCAGTGGCTTGAAGGGTTCTTGGGTGATTCTCACTTTCCCACTTGGTGGCAGACAGGAGTGAAATTGTTCTTCTGATCAGTTGTGTCCTGATCCTGCTGGAGATCTGCTGAGGGTACGCTACCAGCCATGGGTAGCAGCAATGTCCGAGAGGCTTAAAGATGACATGACAAGGCAGACAGCATTCCACCTTAAGGGATAAAGGGAGTCTGTCCCAGTACTTGTCCTTTTAAGGAGCTGCTTGGGGTACATTCAGGTCAGAAGGCTAGCTCTACTCTTAAGGACTAATCTAACTCTATCCCCCATGTCTCATGATTAAGAACCAAGTCCTGAGCCAGACAGACTGAGTCAGAACAGAGGATATGAGTGTCCTAAAGTCAACAAGGACCTTAGCTGCCTATCTCTGCTCTCTTCTCAGCTGGAGTGGGACATGAAGCTGTGGTGGCCACACTGTGAAGCCATGATTGCCTTCCTCATGGGTTACAGTGACAGTGGGGACCCTACCTTGCTAAAGATCTTCAATCAGGTGGCTGAGTACACCTTCTGCCATGTAAGTGCTATCTCCTTGCTTCCTGGAAGCCCAGTTCAGGTTTGAAGGATATGACAGACAGCAGGAAAGGAAGAAATGGGCTATATAAGAGGGTCCAGTAGGCTTTCCCTCAGCCACTCCTAGCCTATTCATCAGGTGTTACCCTCAGCTGCTCTGAGGGTACCAAGAGTGCCTTTTGTTTGGTAAAACAAGAAGCCCTGCCTCAAGGAACTCATCTTTCTAGGTGGTCAGATTCTAATCAAGTAAACAAGCAGATGTAGAGACCAATGAGCTGTGGGAAACAAAGCAGATGGCAAATGATACAGAACTTTCTTTTTTTTTTTTTTTCACTTTGGTTTTTCAAGACAGAGTTTCTCTGTGGAAAACTGTTCTGGCTGTCCTCTAACTCATTCTGTAGATCAGGCTGGCCTCAAACTCACAGAGATCCACCTGCTTCTGCCTCCCACAAGTGCTGGGATTAAAGGCGTGCACCATCACTGTCCGGCCAGAACTTTCTTATAGAGGGATCAGAGAAGACCTTATGAGCAAGGATCCAAAGCAGTGGAGGGCAGGGTGTGTCTGTTCAACAGAAGGGAAGCTTGGAGGGTCCAGTCAGGTGAGCTCCATGTAGCAGGAACGTCCTTGATCTGACAGGTCCAGCAGCCTGAGCCTAGACAGGGAATCCAACAGCTAGCATATCAGGCTGGTGAATCAGCAGTTGGAACCTCCCCCAAGTGTGTGTGTGTGTGTGTGTGTGTGTGTGTGTGTGTGTGTGTGTGTGTGTGTGTGTGTGTGAGAGAGAGAGAGAGAGACAGAGACAGAGACAGAGACAGAGACAGAGACAGAGAGTATAGGTAGGTCAGAGGACACCTTCAGGTGGTGTTTCTCAGGTACTACATACCTTTTTGTTGAGACAGTCACTCACTAGCTATGTTGACTAGTAGGCGTACCCTTGGGATCATCCTATCTCTGTTTCTCCAGTGGTGGGAATACAAGCGTGCTATCCTTGTCTTTTTTTCATATGGGTTCTGAGACCAAACTCAGGTTCTCATGTTTGCAAGGCACTTTTTTTTTGGTTTTTCAAGACAGGGCTTCTCTGTGTAGCAATGGTTGGGCTGTCCTGAAACTCACTCTGTAGATCAGGCTGGCTTCCAACTCAGAGATAAGCCTGCCTCTGCCTCCCAAGAGCTGAGTTTAAAGGTGTTCATCACCACTGCCAAACTAGTTTACAAGGTATTTTACTGACTCTTGGCCCAGCAGATGAGTTTCTGAGGCTGTTGTTGGTTGTTTTCGCTCTTTGCTCTTTTGGGGGCCTGCCACCCAGCTCCCAAATAAATTACACAGACACTTATTATTACACCTTTAATCCCAGCACTTGGGAAGCAGAGGGAAGTGAGTTCCAGGGCAGCTAAGGCTACAAAGATAAATCCTGTTTCAAAGAAACTTAAAAAAAAAAAAAAAAAAAAAGAACATGAGCCAGTTTGGGTCCATGCCTTTAGTTCCAACACTGGGGAGGTGGAGGTAAGAAGATTTCAACTGAGTTCCAAGCCAGCCTGAGCCACATAGCAAGTTCTAGGGTAGTCAGGAATACAAAGTGAGACTCCTTCTCAAAAATAAATACATAAGGACAAGACTACTCAAAAGTTATGATTAGATACAGAACTGCTTATACCTCTCTTGAATACACCACCACCACTCTTTCTGAGACAGAATCTGGACTGGCTTTGGACTTGAGGCAATTCTCCTGCCTCAGCCTCCTGAGTGCTGAGATTACAGACATGAATCATTACACAGCTTAAAATTCACAAGTCATATGTCACAATATTTTTTTGAGACAGGGTTTCTCAGTGTAGCCCTGGCTGTCCTAGAACTCATTCTGTAGACCAGGCTGGCCTCAAACTCACAGAGATCCACCTGTCTCTGCCTCCCGAGTGCTGGGATCAAAGACGTGCACCACCACTGCCTAGCTTCATATGTCACAATTTAAAGGGAGCATTTTGATGGTAAACTTTAATGCCTTCTAAGAAGGGGTTCTACTTAACTATTTTATCATTGAGAACAAAATGGGAAGGGCCTTGGATAAGGACTTGGGATACATTTTGGGGAACTGAAAAAGCCTCAGTAAGACAGGTATGGGATAGGGTATACAAAGGGTCTGTCCAGCAGCTCAGATGCTGGACCCCATATCTAAAGCATCAGATCCACTGGACAGGGTCAGAATCCATGATGAAGGCGTGCAGAAGACCAGCTTGGCCTGAAACTTACAGAAATGTGTCAGCCTCTACATCCTGAGGGCTGGGGCTAAGGAAAGGCATGCCCCACCACACAGGGTTAGAGGAAAGTCTGAGACCCTGTTATAAAAACCTCAGTAGACAAGGATAGGACTAATGTGTCTCTGTTTGATAATCCAAAGATCTTTTGGACCAAATGCCTGTGAAGTAGAGACCATGAACTGCAGAGAAGTCACTTGTTGGAAAGTTTGCTGGCAAGAGTCTTCCTTCCTTCCTTCCTTCCTTCCTTCCTTCCTTCCTTCCTTCCTTCCTTCCTTCCTTCCTTCCTCCCTCCCTCCCTCCCTCCCTCCCTCCCT